CAGTCGTTTTCATTCAAGCAAACCCTTAATGCTAACACGTCGAACTCTCACATATGCAGGATGATGAAGATTCACTGGTGGTATCACAGGGTCATACGTTTCTTTCCCAGCCTTGACAAGAATATTTTTTATAAGAATTGTTACAAAATCAGGTATAATATTTCCATACTCATCACATGCTTGAAGAATATCTTCCACAACCACTTATAGCTTCTGATCCCCTCCACCCACTGCATCTCTACACACCACTTGACCAACAATTGGCAAGCCGTTTCTGTAGGTCTCAGGGAAAATCAGCTCAATCCTTGGTTTTTTCCCACTTTGGCGACACCAGAAGTGAAGACGGAGAAGCCTGTGTCTTCTTCCACGACATTCACAAAAAAGCCTAATCTTTCGTTCCATTTTACTGCTTCGCCTTGCATCAGCTGCGACATGTTAGCAATGATGTTCACGCAACTGACACCGTCTAAGATGGCGTTGATTAGCATGCAAGTCCGATTCCCTGAATAGTAGTTGCTGGCACACTTATTCATCGCAAACACCTTCTTTTCTTTCTGCTGACGCTCCAGAGCACTCTCATCACAAATGCATATTTGTGCAGCAAATGTATCACGTAGGAATGGGCCGTTGGTGTAGGTAGCGCAGACATTGAACGCCACATCTGACTTCATCAGGGGAATAGTCGTCGGGAGCTCCACGTGTGCCAGGAATCGTGGCAGGCTGCAGTGCTCCACGATGAAGTATATTACCTCGGTATAATCCCTCACACGCACTTCTATCTGCCACTCGCCCTCCTCTGCATCAGTCATGACCTTGTGCTCTAGACCGAGAGCGTCTAATGGTTGGACATTCTTCCACTGACGCACGATATTGTTGAGGGGATCTCTCACCACAATGGAGTCAAATTGAGGCGCTTGTAGACGTCTGTCACGTTCTGCTGTGTCGATGGGTGTTAGTCGCTATGACTGCCAGAACTCTTTAACAGCTTGATGTGTGGGCCATGTGGGAGACTCTGAGTGCGGAAGTAAATGGCGACTTGTGAGTGCAATGAAGCGGAATCTCATTTGTTCACCAGGCCGATAGTGTGGTTTATCCGTCTCTCCCATAATCACAATGAACCTCTGTACCATTCGAACAGTTTTATCAAAGCGCTTTTCCATCAGTTGGCTACTGCTTTTGGATGAACAGTATAGGTAAGTAATCTTAAGTTTGAAGTATCTCCCTGGTTCCAGTTCAATTGGAATGCAGTACTTCAAATCGTAGGTGTATCTATTGTCAGCCACAGAGTGACCGCCAATCGGCCAATCGAAAGTTGTCAGTCCAAGGCTTGGCTACTAGAGACCTTGAATATTCATATTTACGATGACTTTAAAAATAGGTTTCTCCGAATGAAGGATTATTCTGTTGGGCAAGTCAACGAACATTTCTTGGGATAGAGAGATTATGACAGTGTTATTGGCGTCCGCATACTCGTCCGACCCTGTTGGACTCAAGATAAGACCTGTCGCCAATGTGCAAAACAGCGCTAGCAGCTGCCATGCTAAGCCACGCATGTTAAATCGAATGCTGCACTAATATCGTGTCCATATTTCTATAGGATTCTGGAGTCCCCTGAATAAAAAATGGAAAGCTAGTTTAAATTGCTATTTACTAAGTGGAAACTAACTTTTCCAACTCTAAATGACAAGCGCTTTATGGTACTAGCGGCTTTTACAGTCAAACAAATTCAACAACACAGTGAATGGAATTGCTCGAATTTTTCAAGACCACAGAATATGGCACATTGCTTCTAGATAAAACTTCTGAATTTGTATGAGTAACTGGAAAAAATCAGCCTTAATTGGAGCCCTATGTCCTACAGTATGTGATTCTTAGAGAAAGGAGACTTTGGCCAATATTTATGGGAGCTGTTTTATTTTGCAAAATGACCAATGAACGAAACCTTTGAAAATTGTTAGCTTTTTATTAAACTGAGGTAGTATCTTGGAGATTTTACCAATCTTTACCGAAAGGCCATTCTTCACAAAAATTTCTATCGCCTTTGGGCAAAACCGTTTGTTAGCTTCCTTCCTTCCTTTTACCTGTTTCATTCTCTAAACAGGAGCTCGAATTCAAATTTTAGTTGACTATAAGCAGTTTTAATATTTTATCACTGCCTTCTCTCCTTTTTGACGACAAATAGTTGCTGCAACTTGCAGCTAAGCAACGCTGGTTGAAAAATATATTCGATAGAACTAAGTGTCTTTTGCCTTTTTGCTCAAAATTATATTAACAACACCATGTGCCTTCTCAAAATAGGCTCAGGACAGTTAGCTCCCTCTTAACTGTCAAGGCAACGAATCTCGTAGCAACTGAATTCGCTGTCCTGTGGCACACATGCGTAGTCTACCTTTAGCTCGATTGGTCGTGCCATGAGTTAACCGCGGGAGAGAAATTGCAATATCAGACTTGTGATGTCTGGCAGGGCTTTATTTGACATCACCTGCAGCTTCGCGCTCTAGGGACAGGTAACACTACTAATATTCATCACACCGGCTTATATTGCAGAACCTGTATTACTCCATGAGAGCATGTTTTGCAGAGGTGTTAATGGGTTTTGCAATAAAGTAATTTTCAAATTACTTTTTTATTTGTTTAAAATTGTAGATTCACTTATTAGGTGAGCGACTGATAGGTTAACTGACTTTAGACATTTAAAATTGAGTTTTCTCCACTGTGTCGATAACTATTGTAAAATTAAAGAGAAAAAGCATCAATTTCTCACGTTTGAATGGTGATTTAATAAGTAACTTTACAGTCAGGAAAGTTATGTGGGGGTTAAGAGGGGTTATCTTTGGGCTTTGTGTGTAAAGCAGCATTCTGTTTTAAACGAATATCACTGAGAAATGCGTAAATGCGTTGAAGCAACAATGGTTGAGGAAGAGAGCTGAGAGAAGCGAGTGGCTTTATGCATTTAGGTAGGAAACTTATTAAAAACATGTTGTGCTGTCCTCACCCACTTAGTTACCGCAACTTGTTACCTACATAGTAATTGAGTAAAGGGAAAGGTAATGACATTTCCATTAATTAATTTTCTCTGTTCATAAAGTATCAAAGGTATTTGCACAAAGACATTGCCAATTTACTTTAGCCCAACATTCTTTACAAGCCTATATAAACAACTTAATTTAAAATTCAGTGTATTTAGGATTCCCCAAAGCTTTCTACTGCTTTTCAACAACTGTTCTGTACAAATTAGAAGGCCCACTTCTTTATGAAAGAATCATGGAAGCATCATAGTGAGCATCATAAATATCTCACCAGCATTTGTGTGAATATGTATTTTTTAATAAGGCAGCTCAGTTATATGCACTATCGACACTACACATTACCAAAAACTCTTAATTTAGTCTTTTGCGTTTGGTTTTGTCTCCATAAAAACCCAATCCAATTTTTTTATGCCTCAGGACATGCGTCAACAGTAAGGATGGAAACAACCGTCACCAACCTAGTCGACTGAAACTGCAACCATTGGTCATTGGCATTGTTTAGAACATGGCTTGGTCAATGCACGAAGATCCATGTCGGATCGCATGTGACTAATTTATTCAGTCACCAATAGTTACGCAAGGCTGCTTTTAAACGTCCTCGAAACAGCATCAATCACCCTGTACAGGAGTAAACAATCGACTGCATACACTAACTTATAGAACATGTGTTTCTCCATTCACCCAGTAGTTTGCAATTTTATTTTAACATGATTCGATGAAGCACCATTTTGGCACCGAAGTTGTCAGCGTATTTTAGATGATACTTAATTCTGTGAATATGGATTAATTAAAAATGGTATTTATTGAAGTATGTATGTGATCCGACTAGCTCATGGCCATTGATCTAATTCGAAGTATTTAAACTAGTTTTCGTGGACTAACCTGAAGAGGAACAATTAGGTTCGGAAAATCTTGGAACAAGACGACTGACGTTGGCGTTGTTAATTTAGTCGATTATTTCTGGACTCTGTTTATCATACAGCACAAATAAAAGTGTTTAAAAGGCCAGGCATTCTAAACTTTTTGACGAAATAGAAGAGAGTTAATAATTACCCCAAACCGGTTGCTCTTGAAATATCTACGTACCCTAACATTGTTCGTACGATTAAAAAATGCAGTCTTTTTGTTTCTACGATGCCGCTCACGTTCGTATCTTGGGAGAAAGTGCAGAAGACGACATCATAGAGACTTTGGCGCCTTTTCAAAATTAAATCAAACTTATTCTTACAATCCTTAAGAGATGTGCGCGTGGTCTATGCTTTCAGCCTTTGTTTGCATTTATTTCAGATCACTTGTAAATGGGTAACATTCAAAGTCGATGTGAAAAATTCATTTAACTTTAATTGTCAAATAATTTCAGACGCCTGACAAAATTTAAATGATTTTACCATTACTTGATAATCTCTCATTAAAATAAGACTCTAAGACGTATTATAGAAGGAAATTTAAGGTTGATGGATTGCTAAAAGATCAGAAGGAAAATATGAACGGTTTTGGTGAATTTTATAATAAAATTATAAAACGGCTAGAGAAAACATTATCAGATTTTTTAATTTAAGGAGCTGTTAGTCCTGAGATCTACGCTCATTTTCCGGAGACAAATTGCATCTTTAGGCAACATCTCATCTTTGCATTCTAAGATACACTCTAGTTTTAGCCACCTCCGTTTTTTTTGCAATCACATTCAAGGCCTCTGTTAATTTGGTATGGTACTGCCGAATGGAATGTGAGACAGACGAGTAAAGCACTTTCTCCCCATATCTCTCCCTCCCATCCCAAACCGTAAATCACTCACGAGTTATATTTGTAAAAATGAGTTAGAAGGTCTTGTATCATTGTGTGAAATCACGGTTGAGCTTCTTATTTCACGGGTCGGCAGGTCTTGGTTACTTCAAAAGAAAGAAGAAAAGAACATCAAATTGATACGCTTTGAGGGGTATTTTCGTCCACTAGCTATGACGTGTGTCATGTTTGTGGGACTCATTTGCTCAGCATCTTTAATCATATCTTCCTTTCTAAATTAATATGGGAGGTGTGAATCAGACACTCATCATCAACTCTATTTAGGAAATAGGTTGGAAGAACAGCCAAACCTTATATAAATGTCTTCAAAGACGACACTTCATTGACATCAATAATCTTGAGTTTTTTGATTGTCTTTAACCAATTCGCATCTGAATTGCATTCTTAAACCATCCTATTTTTGGGCGATGCATCCCACTACGCCTATCAAAGAATGTGCTAATTAAGAATTACCTGCGGCTACAGCATTAAAAACGGAATGAATTCACTTAACAATTAGGGAAACATGTTTAAGTCACACTGATCTGAGATATTCCAATCGCCATATTATTAAATGAGGTGGATTGTGAACAAATGAAAGAATCCATACCGTAGTGCTCATATACCGTATTTGACTAGGACCTTTGCGTTGTTAAGCCAATGCAGACAGCTTAAGTAAACATTGCATTACCTATTTTGGCCACCTGATACATTCCCATTTTATAGCTATGCTGTAGTAGTATACACTCTAAAGATTTCAAAAATTTTTGCATCTCTGGATTCATTTACACAAAATGCTGTCTGGGGCTGTTTTATAGGAATGTATTTAAAAGAACTCGGAGAAGCTATCAGTAGCATATTTTCGAAATGATATCTATAAAAATTCATAGGCAAGTGTAGGAAAGTAGTATAATACCCGAATTCTGGTCCCAAAAAAAACTATTTTTTTTCTGTATAGGTTCCGGAGCTTTCCTAAACAGGGTATCCAGTGAAGTGTTTACACCTTGTTTCGATTCATTACAGTAAGTTCGTATCCGACGAGATGTTCTGTAGAACCAAACTCGTCTCTACAATGAAAACAGTAGAGAATTGAATTTTAAATCATTTTGTTAATCATGATGCCTAATGACTAGCGTCATATAGTACTGCTGTGGTGATATACGTGTGTAAGTCCAGTTCTATTCGACAGTATACACAAATTTTACAAATATTTATGAAAATTCTGGGAGCAATATGGGTTATTTTGCCTGTTTATTTAGGCAGTTACGTTTTGGCCCTTCGCGTTTCCAGCTGGATGTTGGCGCCAATACTGGAGCAAGCAGTTGAATGTCTCATAGGGCAAACAAACTATGAATCTAATGACTCGCATATTTTAGCAGGATTTTGTTTCTTCTCATGTAGTCTACCTGATCCAGAAGGTAATGGCTTATAGTGGGTTCTTTCGAGTTCCGTGAATACAGATACTCGAATCACATGGGCAAACAATAAGCACGGCCATAATAGGAAGCATTGCATGTAAAGTAGGTGGCAAAGTAGATGGGCACCACTTGATAGTCATATGAAGAACCTGTTTCTATGTAAATACTTCCACCCGTAGAGGGTCCATTTTAGTCCTCTGTTCTGCATAGGCAAACTAGTGTAACAAAGGTTACAAGATAGCACACACTTTGGTCATCTCAAATTTAATGTTTAAAGTCCTTAATGTTTCACCATTTTCGGTCACTCATGGCTAACCTCATATT